TATGATTCTTTTTGGGAACCCAAATTTTTTGTTGTTTATGGTTTTTTACGTCAACCTTCAGTTTTGGTGTTTTCATTGGAACACCAACGAGACTCCAGTCATTTATTCTTCCTGCATGAGAATCATTAAGCATCCTATAGCATCTAGGGCAAATATGAACAAGAACACCACAATAATGACAAGTAGGAATGAAATTTTTTACAAAACGTTTACAATGTTCTTTCACAGAAACCTGATCAACCTTACCATCAGTGTTGGAACCTTCTTTCACAAAAGTTAGAAAGGGCTTACCATATGAACTGGTACTTGCTTTACCTTTTGGGCTAGGAGATTGGTTTTTGACACCTTTACATTTCAACCTTTTGCTAAGGTCTTGAACATCCGAGTAAGGAACTTTAGGTTTATTGATCATCTTGACCACCTCTTCACTCTTGCTCAGACGCTTTTCAATTTCAGTGCACTAGCTTCGGAGGCTTACATGTTCTTCCATAACCCATCCAAGTTCACATTTGAGGGCCGCAATCGCAGAATCCCTTTCACTTATAGTTTACTGCAAGGCAAACATTTCATCACGTAGAGACTCAATGACAAAATCCTTTTCATCAGATACATGTTTGGACAACTTCTTCTCGTGTTCGAACATCGTGATTTTGGCAACAAATTCGTCCAGCCTATGTTCTTCCTTGCTGGTATGAACATCAGATCTAGTCAGCTTATCATTCAGCTCGCCATTCATCGTGCAAGTTTTCTGAAGTTCATTTTTAAAGCAGGCAATCTCCTTCTCTTGCTCTGCAAAATGATGTTGGAACACCTCGACTTTAGCTTGTAGCTTTTTCATCATTTTTTCAGCTTTGATGCTTGTCTCTAATGCAAGCTTATGGGTTTCCAAGTCTACTTCAAAAGAACCATCTCCAGAATCATCAGAATCACTATGATAATTATACGTATAAGAACACATACCTGAATCTGCATCACAAGGCTTATGAGAGGTTGTATAACACGTGAAGTTGTTGAGGGAAGTGACGAAAAGTTTTTCGTGTGTTGCTGGTCTTCGTCGTCTTCCTCATCATCCTACGTGGCTCGATAGGTGTTGTTCTTCCTCCTGAAATTTGGACAGTCTCTCTGAAAGTGTCCAAATCCCTTGCATTCACGGTATTGGTTCTTCTCTAGATCCTGATTCCGTGTCTTTTGGTAAGGTGTGTTGGAACCCTAATTGTTGTTCTTGAGTTTAGGTGGCTTTTCCCTTTCGAGGTTTTGAACCTTCTTCAGAAACTCATCAAATTTCTTGGTAAGAACAGTCAGTGCATCATTGAATTCAGAATCTTTGAATTGTTCGCCCTCATCTTCTTCACCATCAGACTGTGTTGGAACATTGGCCTTCAGAACTATGCCTTTGCTTATTCCCATCTTACCGTAACCACGATTGATTTCAAAGGTTCGAAGGTCTCCAAGTAAGTCATCAAGACCAAGAGGCTCAACTCGTTGAAAGCTCTCAAGTGCGGTGATCTTTTCACGAAATTGCTTGGCAAGGGTCCTCATGAATAATGGACGATTTGCAGCAGCTCTCTTGTCTTCAATTAATTGTTTGAGTAGGCTTATATACAATCTCCTTAAAGTAAAGAGCCTTCACCAGTTCTTCCTTTTCCTTTTAGGAGTCAATTTCTTTCTGAATTGATTGCTTTCTGATTTAGACCAAATCCTTCATGTAAAGTAAGTTTCCTTGATGTGGAATTCGTGTATGTCATTTGGAGATCTTCAGAATTGAGCTTCCAATGGAAATCTTATGATCCCAGATCGTGTAGGAACATGACTTTCTAGAAAATAGCTGATCTTTCAAATCTTCAAAGATCTTGTGGTGAATCTTTCCAAATCCTCCTTAGATCGTCTCATGAACCTCCAGAACTCCTTATACACGAATTGCTCATCCTTTCATAGTCCTTTCCACTTATTTCTTGTTCTACAAGAAAGAGAGAACTAATTATGGCATATGACATATATGGTAAGTAAATATATAAGATATATATTACATAATCTTTCTCCTAAAGGATTAGGATTCTATAATACATACTACAATAAATATATACCATATATTATTAATAATAAATATTAGAAACTTAATTAAATCACAAGTAAATAAATAGAAAAACTTCTCTTTAATTTATTTTGCTTGCTTGACAAGAAATTTTCTAGAAAACACTTAGGTTTGTCGGACACGATGTCAAACCAATGTTCTTACAGACTACAACACGGACCCTAAGGCGACATTAAATTGGGCTCCCTATATATGGGCTTAATTGTGATAAGGGCTGAGCATGGGACTCGGAGAATTCCGAAACGTTCTGAAAACCGAACCGAAATCACTCCGAACCGAAAAATAACCGTAGACCGTTTGACTTTCTTTGAACCGAACCGAACCGAAAAAATAATTGGTACGGTTCTGGAGATTTCACAAATATCCGTACCGAGAATCGAACCGAACCATCCCGTGCTGTACCGAACCGAAGAACCAAAATTATAACATTAGATGTGTTGTTAATATTTTTTATGTCAACTTTTTTAAATTTTTTGTATAGTAATGCTTGATCTACAATTAAATTTTTTTATTATAAAATAATTATTTAAAATAATATGAAAGTTTAAAGAATATTTTTTTAAGAAAAAAAAATTATATTTTATTTGAATTTTAAATTTTCAATATTAGTTGCACAAATTTAGTATAACTAAAATGTAGAGTTACTTATAAAGTTGATTTCAAAATAAAATCTTTAATGTGAGGAAGTACCGATGAATGTTGGTTTTATTAAACCATATAAAAATTAAATAACTAAAATTTAGAGTTACTTCTAGAATTGATTTCAAAATAAAATCTTCAATATGATGAATTATTGATGAATGTTGTTTTTTAAAACATATAAAAATTAAAATATAACTAGGTAATCATTCAAAAATTAAAATATAACTAGGTAGTCATTCAAAAATAATTTTTAAAAAAATAAAAAATTTCCAAAAATCCAAACCAAACCATACCGATCCGAACCGTCCCAATAGTCCCGAATACCGAACCGAAAAATAAAAATATTTGAACCGAACCGAACCGAATTTTTGGTACGGTTCCGGAGATTGAATTTTGGGATTTCTGAAGTTTGGTATGGTTCTGAAGATTTATCATTCTTCGAACCGTATCGACCCACGCTCACCCATAATTGTGATATTATTTATGTACTGAAATCTGGTTTTGCATGTTACTTACTCTATTTCTATTGAATGAGAATCTTCTTTGATTAAACTATTTCTATGTTCTTTTTTTTTTTGCATTTAGATAAAATTGTTCACTACGGATGGACATAAGATCATCTTATCAGTCATTTGCAAAACAATAATGATATGTTTACAACCTAGATGGATATGTACAAACCATCGAAACTGTGATAGTGTCAACGGTACAGTCAGTATTGATTGATTTGCACTATATTTATGAATTGAACATGATCTTAAAGAGGAGAAGTTCGTTTTATACTGATCGTCGTAAACGAACTAAGCCTCAGTTAATTACTGCGTTCTCTTAACCCGTAAGCTATAAACAAGCATGTGCACACAGTAGCTGCTACTTTATTCACCAAAAGAGAGATCCATTCTGTTAGGTCAATAATTTTCGTGTTTTTGGTAGTAGTGGTATGTGTATGGTGTGTTGCTAGAATATTTATGGTCACCGTATGCATTTGTTTGATGATGTCCCCGAAGGGAGCTCATGAATGATTGTTATGTTGGATTAACTTCTTGCATAATAATGTTTAGAGCGGTGCTAGCTTTGGTTCAAGATGTCGATTAATTCTTGCTTGTCAGTAATAAAATTAATTGACGAACGTTATATTTTAAACATTGGAAGACAATTCGAGTAAGTATAATTGAAGTCTCAAATATAATTCGATAATTTTTACAAATGATTAAATTTATAGAAATGAAATAATTTATAACTATAAAGTTTATTTTTACTAACGATTAAATTTGTATAACGCGACATAATCACTATATAATTTATAATTTAAATATAATATTAATATATTCATGACTTATAATATTTTATTTATATGCATACTATACATTAATAATGTTTCCCTACCCACGGTGGACACGTGTTAATATGCCCACCGCTTACGTGGCAAGCACACATTGGTGATGTTAATATGTTCAAAATAATACATTACCAATGTGTGCATGACACATAAACGGTGGACATATTAACATGTGACCACCGTGGATGTGGGAGCATTATTAATGTATTACCTATGGGTAGGTCACACTAATGTTTTGAACTTTGTACCCAAGTTGCCCAACTTGGTGGCCAAGTTTGTCCGGTGAACATAAAAGCATATCTGCATTAAATAATTATTTCCCGGTTTCCTAAATCTCCTCCTAAACCGGCGGTCAGTTGCTACCGGTACGCGGCGCCGTAGCTTGACTTTTTCGTCTCTGTTATTTCTTTTGCTTGGGCCCAGAAGTTCCCAATCTCAATCTACTTGCAATTTGCAAGTTGCGTCTAGAACGATTGCTTTCGTAGCCCTAACAATTCTGTACCGGAAAGCTATATATACCTTTCACCTCCGATTTTCCTTCTCCCATCAACCTCCTCTCTTCTCGATCCATTATTCTCTAAGACATTTTACAGCTCTGAATGGTAGAAATCTCGAGCGAGCAATTAATGGTCGCCCCCTTTTGTTCTCCAAGGGGGATTTCGGTTCGGGCCGAGGACTCATTTTGCTTCGGATCTTGCATGGAAGGCTGGTACTACCGCTGCATCGGCGTCGATCCTTGAACCTTTTTTTTTTTTTTTT